TCTCAAATTTAAACACACACACACACACACACACACACACACACACACACACCTGTGAAGCTTGTTAAAATGCAGATTTCCCCGTTAACCCCAAGATGGTTGGATCCATTTGTTCAGGGTGGACTTGGCCGCCTGCATTTTCAGCCAGTCTCTGCTTTTCCCTCTCATCGTCCCCCCACCCCAGACGATTCTGAGGCAATGGTCCATGGACCACCCTGTGAGAAGACATTGTCCTGTTGAGCTGGGAGCACATTATTTGCTTTTTCTGCCTGGGGCTTCAGTGTCATCAGAATGTAGACCATCTGGGTTGAGTGGGTTTTACTCTTTCCCTAGACTTAAATTCTCATCTCACTTGGTTGCCTGTGCCCCCACCCAGACCATCTGAACCAGAATCTCTGGGGAGTGGGACCCAGGAACATCATATTTTAAGATTCCCCAGCTGACTGTAAAATGCAGTCAGAGTTGAGATCCACTGAGACTCCAGTGGTAGAATTGAAGAAACTCATGGTTAATGTCTGAGGCAACGCTTCCCCAACCTGTCCCCTCATCAGAGCTACCTGGGGAATCTCTTTTGCCTGGTTTTGGACATACAGCCTCAGCCTTACCCCTGGATCATGGAACTTGTGCTGTGGCCTGGGATTCATATTCTTCAAAATCCCCCCAGGAGATTGGGTCCTGTGATCATGCAAATTCGGGAACCATTGCCTTAAGGGTAGGTAGGGCTCTGGCATGGTTGAGCCCTGCATTTATTCCTGTATTTTTAGCTGCAGATCTACAGATATGTTAACAAATACTATTTGATGATAAAGTTGTCATGCTCTGCAGCCCCGAGGCCTCTTGGGTCAGAGGCCACAATGAAGAGTCTTAACACTGTCAACCATCTGTTGCCTGTTTCAGGTTTGGAATTCCCTTGGGGACCTAAACCCTTCAGGGAAGTCATTGCAGGGCCCTTGCTTAGAAATAATGGGCAGTCCCTGGAGAGCAGCAGCCTGGAGGGGTCTCACGTGGGAGTCTATTTCTCCGCACACTGGGTGAGTGTTTGGTCCTTCTTTAGCCCAGATGAAAGGAAGCAGTAGTGTCACCACCAAGACCAGTTGTGATTAGCTTCTGGAGGTGGGACTGCTCTGGCATAATTTCCTGGCATCCTTCCTTTCTCCCGTGCCCAGCGCATTGTTAGCATGCAATAAGTGCTTGTTGTTATGAATGATAATAGCAGCAAGAAATGACTTCTTTTGACTGGCCTAAAAGGGTAGCTCTCCTAACCCATTCAATGGTCCCCGAGGGGTTCCTTTAACTGCTGCCTGGTGGCACGCTGGAAGGGGTGGGGTGGAGCCTGTGCTGGATGCTCACCATTACGAGAGGCATGTTTGTCCCTGCCTCTCTTATAAACCAGGTTTGGTCATCCCAGTCCTCCTTGGGTCTTGCTTACCTGGCCCCTGATGGCACGTGGTTGGGAAACGGGATGTTGAAGGTGCAACGTCGTCACGCTGCAGGATCCCACTCTTGTCTTTCAGTGTCCACCCTGCCGAAGCCTCACCCGAGTCCTGGTGGAATCCTACCGGAAGATCAAGGAGGCAGGCCAGAAATTTGAGATCATCTTTGTTAGTGCAGACAGGTAATGTGTGCCCGGGCAGGTGGCAGCGCAGTTTCTCCTTTCTGCAGGTAGTTGGTTAACATGCATTTCTCTCGCCTTACACTTCTCACATCTTCAGTGTAGAGCTTGGAGGTAGGGATTGGGGAAGACGTATCTGGGATTACTGGCAGATGGACAGGTGCATTTCACAGTTACTCTTGGAATTGTCTGAAGGGAAGCCGAGAAAATCTTGTTCTTGCTGTACATATGGGGGCATGTCCCAATTCAGGCCTGGGTCATTTGAGATTAGGATGTATTTTTTGATTGGTTCAACGTTTTAGATCGTGGTGAAAGGATATGGAGGGGGAAGGATGGAAAGAAAAGAGCCAGAGACTAATGGAATGCGATGCCTCCCTTATGGCTGTGCAGTCATTTCTCATGTAGTCTAGGAGCTATCATAAACGCCAGAAGGGCAGACCTTCTTCCTGGAGTACATCAGGTCCTTTTAGCCCCAGTTTCCTTTGCTTCTTGCCCTTTCACTAGCTTTACTCATTAATGACCTTCCTTCATCACAAAACTCCAGCCCCAGTTCAGACCGAGCCACCAGGCACTCCTGCCTTTTAAGTTCCTGTCCTCAGAAGGCTCTCTGAGATGCCAAAACACCGAGAGCGTGTCGCGCCTTATCACATCCTTGACATCTGCGCCATTTCATGCTCAGTTTATTGGCCGGTGGTCCCACCTGCTGTTACACAGCTCCCCATCTCCATGCCTGTGAGTGGGGGGGGGCTAGTTTGAGGGCCGGCCAGGTGGAGTCATCATTTTTTTTTTAATTGGGGACAGGGAACAGTGTTGGGGAATTGGAGAAGGGGAACAGCCAACTTGTCCTTCAGTCTTCGTTGTGGAGGGTGCAGCTAGCTCAGCTCCCAAGTCCAGACTCCACCCGGCCGCCCGCTGGCAGCTCGCGGTTGATCAGCTCAAGGAACCGTGTTTAATCTTAGTTGCGGGGGTGGGGGTGGGGTGGGGGGAGTGTGTGTGGGGGTGTAGCCCACCATCCCATGTGGGAGTCGAACTGGCAACCTTGTTGTTAGAAGCACATGCCCTCACCAGCTGAGCCATCCTGCCACCTGTTGGCAGCTCAGCTTGGGCACAGCTCACTGGCCCATGTGGGAATCAAACTAGTGACCCTGTTACTCAGAGCTCGCACTCTTAACCAGCTGAGCCACTCAGCTGGCCCGAGTCATTTTTTTAAAGTTTTCAAAAATACCGACTGCATGGAAGTATGATTTACATACAATAAAATACATACATTTTAGGTATATAGTTCAGTGAATTTCGACAAGTGGATATACCTATGTAAGCAACGCAATTAAGATCTACTATAGAACATTTCCATCACTCCAAAGACTCCCTCATCCCTGTCCTCAGTCAGTCCTCACCCCAAACCCCAGCTCCAGGGGATCCCTGATCTGCTTTCTATCACTTGATTCTATTTGTCATTCCTGGAATTTTTTCTGTGTGGAACCATAGTGTTTCTGCTTGATTAAAAGTGTGGTCCAGTAGACACCACTGTTACATGCACAAAATAGAGGTGCCACTAGGGAATGCGATGTCTGAACATCTAGGTTTCTTATGAAAGTAAGACCCATTGGTCTTGACAGATGAAAAATTGGGCATGAGTTGAGCTGGTAGGATTCAGGGGAGCAGGCCTTCGAAATGGCATCCCCATGTTGGGTGGATGCCAGAATGGGGGAGTAACCCCTCCTGTGTTACTAGCCTGGTGTCTGAGATCACAATGATTAGAAGCCCCAGCACCTGGACAGCCCTGGGCACAGCGTGGTAGAAGGTGGGGAGTGCCCAGTGGAGGTGCATCTGGGGGTAACAGAGCCTTGTTTCCGTGTGTGTCTCTGTAGGTCAGAGGATTCGTTCAAACAGTACTTCAGCGAGATGCCCTGGCTCGCTGTCCCCTACACCGACGAGGCCCGGCGGTCGCGCCTCAACCGCCTGTATGGAATCCAAGGTAGGCATTCCCGACTCCAGGGGACTCGCTGGGAACCTGCCCGTCGGGGCTCGCAGGGAACCTGCCCGTCGGGGCTCACCACGTCTTCAGCTTTCCTTTTAGAGGGAAAAGAACATCTTTATTTCCGTAACTATTCACTTTCTCTACCATATTAAAAATCACACACGGTGAATTTTATGGTATGTCCATTGTACCTTGTTGAAGCTGTTTTTGAAGCACAGTACTTGTCCAGGTGAGATAGTTGCTTGTTGCCGCCTGGCCTAGTGGGTTCTGATGTGGTTGAGCCACGGATTACACACTCCCCAGTGACTCTGCCAAAACCTTATCCCCAGGGTTTTACTGTCCAACTGACCTGAGAGTGATCTTTGGTTCCATCATTCAGACCCTTGGAGCCTCGGTTTCCTCATCTGCAAAACGAGCATGATAAATCTCTGCCACAAAGCATTCCTGCGGGCATTAATAGGATAAGGTACATCAGGCACTTCTCATGGTTCCTGAAGCAAGGACTGAGTGGGTATTACCTTTTAGGTGAGAAATTTGATGTCCCGAGAGTGTTGAAAACCAGGACTTGGAGTACTAATCATGGTGTTTTGTTCAGAAATCATGATTATTAGTGAGACAGACTGTTTTTGTTCTTTATTGTGTGAATACTCCTTCCAGCTTTCACCCAGCTAGGTGCTTTCTTGGTGAAGCCCTTAGCTGGCCTGTTAAGTGTTAAGCTCATTTCCTTGGTAGCAGTCGTATCAGATGCTGGTCAGCCCTAGACAGACACGACTAATATTTGAGTTCTCAGTGCCCCTTGTGTTTTACAGAGTGAAAAAAATGGCAAATTAAGATATTTACCCACAAATTCCACAGCTTATGGGGGAACGCATGAGATTCTTGAACCTTTTTCTTCACCATTTACAGTAACCATATGGCTTTGTTTAGAGCTACTAAAGTTTCAAAATATTAATATTTAATTTTAAATCAGTGCTTCTCAGTTTGCAAGGTGCCTAAGAATCGCCTGGGGATCTGGGGAAAGTGCAGATTCTGAATCCATGGGCCCGAGGGTGGGGCCGAGATCCCACATTTCCAGCAAGCCCCCAGGTCAGATGCCAAAGCTGTTGGTCCAGGGACCACACCTGGGGTAGTAACAGTCTAGGTCTGTTAATTTTTAGAGAGCGTTGGTGCCTCATGCCTCCTATTAATACAAAAGGTGAAGGCAGTTCCTTTGCCAAACAGAAGTCACGGGACATGACATGGTTTACAGACCCAGAAGGAAAGGGACCAAGTTGGGTGACTTAAAGGAGATGTCACAGGCTTCCTTCCTTCCTTCCTTCCTTCCTTCCTTCCTTCCTTCCTTCCTTCCTTCCTTCCCTCCCTCCCTCCCTCCCTCCCTCTGCCAGCAGAGAGACTTAAACCATGTGTGCCTTGGGGTACGAACGGAGGGTTGAATTGTCACTTCATGGGGATAAGTAAAACTTCATGTCTTTTGATTCATTTATTCATTCACTCAATGAATGTTTGCTGAGGGCTGACCCCACTACTGCTGAGTCACTGTGAGCAAGTTACTTAACCTCTCTTGTATCAGTAAAATGGGGACGTTTCAGTGTTGGGCACAGAGTAGGCACTTAATAAAGAGTTAACTAACTCAGAAAAAAAGGGGGAAATTTTGATTTTACAACCTAGAAAAGATAAACCTTTGGATGTCAACAAGCTTTAACAAAGGTGACCAACAATATTAATAACATATATTGCAAAGAATCAATATCCTTTATAGAAAAAGAGCTCTTCCCAGATACCAGTCCAGAAGAGAGAAAATTTAGACAACAGAGCTATGAAGTAAGCAGTTCACCTGTTGCATAGTCAGGATGGATATGAAAAATATTCAGCATCATTTATTTTCATGAATTACAGGTGAAAACACTGGATTTGTATCTATCACATTTGCAAAGAACTTCCACCCTTCCTCCCTCATCCTGAAAAAAAAAAAAAGATAACCCCCAGTGTAGGAAAGAGAGCAGACTGCTAGTAGGAACGTAAGTCAGGACAACTTTTCAGAAGAGCAATTGGCAATATACATCATAGGCCCTAAAAAATCTATAAGACCTTTAATTTAAAAATCCCACTTGTAGGAATTGGTGCTTGCAAAATGATCCTAGAATGCACAGCAAAGGCTGAACTTCCCTAGAGCAGGTGGTGGATTTGGGGTTTTTGGTTTTTCTCTTTCATCTTTTATACACTTTGAATTTCATTAGAGCTCACAATTCTTTCTTTGCTTTAGTCCCTAGAAAACCTAGAGGTGAATTTGTAATCACCTTTAGCAGTTTTGCAAAACCATTTCTATGTGTGCCCTTGACCCTAGCTTCATTTTCTCTTTCTTCCTTGTTTTCCCTCCAGGGGGATGTTTTTATCTGTTTTTGTTGGATTAGATCATGCACTTTTTAAACCACCATCAATCCTTTTTGGGAAAAAGATGGAGTAGATTTGAATGCATAAGATTCTATTTCTCGAGCTCCAACCAGCCACCGGTACTCTGTCCTGAGCTTGGTGAGACATAAGAAACCAGAAAGGTGGCCCCGTGCTGCCCTTGAGTGGACAAGACGAGATTTACATTGGGAAATAACTAAAAAGCGGCGTAGGCCCGTGTAAAAAGTGCTGGTCAAGTAAGTGCCATTTTGTACAGGAGCTTAGAAGACTGACAGGTGTCCCCGAGAGTGGAGCAGGGTCTGGGCCTCACTCAGCCACCCGCCTCAGTCAGGAGGCCTCTCCACATTTCCAAGCGTGTATCATTAATGGGGCAGAATCTCTTCCTCTCCAAGATAGGGAGTGGAGTTGTGGGGTTCAGCATGGTGCAGGCATTGCTGGTGGTCCAGCTTAGGCCATGGCATCACCTGACACTAAAAAATCACCCAAGGACGATCTAGATACACTGCACAGCCAGTTTGAGGGCGGCAGTCTGTGCCCTCCCTGTGCTCTATGAGGTGCTTCTGAGGACCCTTTGGGGTGGGGGTGAGGCACAGACCAGCAATCTTATAGGAGAGATTGTGAGTTCTTCGAGATTCAACACAAGTTTTGGACATCCACTAAGGCTGGACGGTGCCCTTCTGTGGCGTGTTGGCAGGGCACAAAAAAATTAAATCAATCGTTTTGTGTCTGCCTTCAGAAAGCAGAGAAGGGAACTCTTCTTTCGGATTCTCCAGTTGTCAACATGTAAATATTACAGACGGCGGCGCCGTGGTTGTTAGGTGTGGTCCAGGCAGCCAGAAATTGGGTGACCACAACTGAGGAGGAAGAGAATGGAGAGTTCTCAGAGACACATTCATGTGGCACAATCTCGTAAGGCACTGGCCGTGTGGGGATGAGAAGTACAGATGAGGAGCTCTCATTTGAGAATCAGAAAGCTGATGTGGAGAGGCTCCGAGCCCAGGCAAGTGGCAGCCAGCCAGCCATGCCACAGTAAAAGAATGTGAGAGATTCATGTGGAACCCAGCTCCGGCCAGTGAGCATCCGCTGCAGCCCAGCCCTGCACCTGGCTCGTCCTGCTGCTGCTCGGCAGTGGCTGTGTGGCGTACACTCCCCTGCCATCTGTTCCAGTCTCTCTTCAGCTTGGACCTGTCTGCTTTCCCAGCTGCGCACCTCCTGCATCCTCGCTCTCGGGTTTACAGTCTTTGGCGCAGTGTTTTATGCCGACTGCTCCTTGATCGCTGATCTCTTGGGCTAAGTCTTAGGACTCATTCCTGCAAGCATCCTGTCAGACATTGCCTACTGACCTTGATCTGTCTGCCTGTGGCCCTGTCACATCAGAGATGCACTAAAGCACGGTGAAATATGACTGTAGAAGAGCAACACAGCATCTTTATCAAGGTAGCATTTAATGAAGGGACCACACAATGGAATAATCCGAGTTCAGGGCAGACTTGCTTGGAGCTGTTGAGCCAGGAAGGCTTCCTAGAGGAGGTGGCTAGGGAACAAAGCCTTACAGAATGGATGGCATTTAGATAGGAGGTTTGGGTCATTCCAGGGCAAAAGCCATACTAGGACGCCCATGGTGTACTATAGGGCAGAGTGGGCAATAAGGCTGGTGATGCCACAGTGTAGAGGGACTTAAATGCCGTACTGAGGTCCTTAGCTTTGACTTTGGACTTTTGGAGCCTTTTGAAAATTTTGATTTAGGGGAGATCAATGCAATAGTGACATTTAAGCTACACTGGAAGAGAAATCCCAGAGGCAGGTTATTCACTGATACTTCTTTTCTTTTTAATTTAGGTAAACTTGGTATATAACATGATATTAGTTTCAGGTGTACAACATAATGATTTTATACTTGTATACAGTACAAAATGATCACCACAATAAGTCTAATTATCATCCATCACCATACAATTTACCCCCTTTACCTATTTTGCCCACTCCAACCCCCTTCCCCTCTGATAACCACCAATCTGTTCTCTGTATCTATGAGTTTCATTTTATTTTGTTTTTTAGATTCCACATATAAGTGAAATCATTTGGTATTTGTCTTTCTCTGTTTGAATTGTTTCACTTAACATGTTGCCCTCAGGGTCTATCCATGTTGTTGAAATGGCAAGATTTCTTTATTTTTTATGGCTGAGTGGTATTCCTTTGTGTGTGTGCATGCGCTCATATATCACATCTTTTTTATCCATTCATCCATCAGTGGACACTTAGATTGTTTTCATATCTTCGCTATTGTAAATAATGCTGTAATGAACGTAGGGGTTCATATACATTTTTGAATTAATGTTTTCATTTTCTTCAAATAAATACCCATAAGTGGAATAGCTGGATAATACTTATATGGTAGTTCTTTTTTTTTTAAGGAACATCCATACTGTTTTTTCATAGTGGCTGCACCAATTTACATTCTCATTAACAGTGTGTGAGGGTTCCCTTCTCCACAGCCTTGTGAACACTTGTTGTTTCTTGTCTTATTGATGATAGCCATTCTCTCAGGTGTGCAGTGATATCTCATTGTGGTTTTGATTTGCATTTCC